AGCCGATTCATTAGGCCCATCATATTAGCGATGTAGACGTTCGCGGGCTCGTCTGGGCCCTGATATCGGCTTTGAACCTCTTTCGTTAAACGCTGCTGTTGTTGCCTGCTGGTCCCAAACCATGCTCTCGCGTCTGCCTCGAAGTCCGCGTAGGAGAACCATTCATTTCTCATTGCCTCGTACCAGACGAGGGCGGGACCGACGAGTAGCTCGGATACTGCCAGGAGCATCTCGTCCTCCGTAAGTCCTGCGCTGCTCCTCGAGCTGTCCAGCCTTGACAAGAAGGTGTCAATGCTCGCATTGCCCTCTCCGGAGAACCTGAGTTTCCATCCCCGGACGATGCGGCCGACGTCCCTTGTTGTCGACCACGGGTTTGACGTCTGTTGGGATGACCACATGTTCGGCGGGCGGTTGTCCACTTCAGCATTAACTCCACCGAGTTAATGCTGTCCACCCTCTCCGAAAGGGGGCGTCCGGTGGGGGGTCCTGCCGGTGGCCCCCATGGGCCTCTGTCTGGGTCCAGCTGGAGTGCTCTGGGGTAGCCTGGTGTCGTAATCGCATGCGAAGGTGTCTTGGAATGTTACGCTCCTACGCGTGTTCTCCTGTTGCCGCACTTCGTTGGAACTATTCGCATCGTCTTGCCGTATATTTCTGTTTTCGGCGTTTTCTAATGCGCTGATCCTGGCGGATTGACTGTCTAGTTGGCCCTTCACATTGACGCTGTTGCTGAGGATCTTGTCTAATATTTTTGTTAAATTGGACATATTCAAACTCAGTGAGTCTAGCAGCTCTAGTTTCTTCTCATTTTCTCTGGACCGGGAAATGAGGTCTTGGATCATCACCGCGAAAGCCGGCGGGAGTTGGAACTGGCTGCCATCATCAGCTGTTATCGTAATACTCTTATTACTGTTCGTGTTCTCTCCGCTGTTCAGGACATTCGCGATGTTTATCGCGGTTTTCTGCACTCGCGATATTACCTCCGCACTCTGCAAGCGGGTGTTCCTGGCATAGGGATACAATTAGTTCCGAGCGTAGGGCAGCTCTTTTGGCTGGACTGCTGTGCTGGTTGTCGACTTCCGCGAAATCTGCTGCGGAGTAGTCGCCGAGTAACCAGGTATGTAGTCGTGCAGCTCTCGAGAGCTTGTTTCCGCTTGTTTTGAGCTCCAGTTGTTCGAGGTACTCTTCGATTTCCTTCTCCTGGAGCGTCAACACCCAGTTTTCTATTTCTATTTGAGTGCGATCCATTTTTCTCTGTTAGTTGGCTTGCAGCTAATTTTTACGCAAAATTTACAGACTTGTTATACGAGTGCGAGTGCTGTATTAAAATTCGTACGCAAAAATGAAAATAAAAAAAATTTTATTAGCCGACACTGGGCTTGATTAAGGGCGTTTTACGATTTATCTGCCGAAAGACTCTTCGCTCGTTAATACGCAATATAATGATCCTGCCTATCAGACGTACTATTTGTTAGCGCGGCTGTTTTGGTTAGTATCTAAAATATTTTAACGAACGCTTAGCGTAGTCATCAACAACCGCAGCTAATAATATTAAAAAAACGTTTACTTTAAGGCAACACGATATCAAATAAAATTGTCAAATTGGATTAATTTCGTTTGAAAGTTGCCGGTGTTAGTTTTCCCCGGGCCAACGGGTAAAATAATATTGATTTGCGGCAACTTCCAAAATTTATTGGTGTTTACGCTTCAAAGAGCCTTTCGGTCGCACTCGCACGCGTTTACAGTTATTATTTACACTTTTACGTCGCGGCGGACCTTCGCAAGCTAATTAACAGGCTATGTTTACTATTGTGGCCTTCGATATCAATGTGCACAACAACACTTGATTGCCACCTAAGTTGCTGGTTGACTGAGCGCAAGGTTACTATTGAGAACCGGTGTTTTGAACAATCAAAAACACCGTTGGTTCTTTAACGTTGGGCGCCATGTAACGGGGTAGATACCGTTTAATTATTTTTGTTCGCACGGATTCATTAGAGGGCGAATGTAATCATTGATGCTCAATACATAATCCGGAGAGCATTGGGAAACAGGCGTCAGTCAACCAATAGATCTATTTATCTACGAAAAGGTGAGTGGAAGCAATATGAAATAAGAGAGTCGAGAGCACTTGTTAATGATTCGAGCAGAACCTTTTATTATCTATTATATGCTACATCAGGTCGGCCCGCGTGTTTGTTTACATCGACGCTCGCACGACGACAACATGCAGTGTCGGAACGCTCGCTGCTCTTTGTTGGAAGAGCTATTACATGCACGCTTGAGATCTCGGAAAATTAATCGTTATATACGCAATTATATCGCGACCGCGAAATTAAGTTGGCCAGCTTACCTTTATTTTGCAGACGTACGAGGTGGACAATGGCGAGTCGCACAGCGAGACGATTGTTCGAGTTTGTGTCGCGGATCGCGAATTCTCGTACACGTGGTTTCGCCCTCGATGGCGAAACCTCACACATACTCTTTCGATCTCGTTGAGGGCGGCGTTTCTCTGTCGGCTCGGGTCCCTCCCTTCTGCAAACGTGTGGCACCTCCGCAACAGCAATCACTATCCGCTGACACTGATCGGGGCGTTCCTCTCTCGTTCTTTTTGGCGTTAACGGCACGTGGATCGGTGATAGCGAAAAAGAAAAGCGGGCGAACGTGATGATGGTCAATGCTTCACTGGTTCAATTTTAAGCGTGCGCGTTCCGTCTGCTCGCGTGCCGCATTCCTTCGTTACGTTCCTAATCTCCCCAGTAGGTGCTGCCCCCGCGAGCAGCAATTAGGTTACGTTATTAGCGCTAATTCGATGTTTACCGTTACAACATATATGGCATTATTATCCGAGTTGAAGGGCATTCTGATGGGCGGTTGACCAGCACTCCCAACAGATGAGGAAGATATTCTTCGGTCTAAGGGTTAAATATTTTAAAATTATGGTTATGGTAACTAAACGGGTATCGGTAATTTAATTTCCTATCGTATCAACCCTCCCGGGAACATTTGTAAATCTATCTAGCGGGATAGATTAGTCTAAGCACGTTCTCCATAATATTTCCGCGAATATTACTCACCGCATATTAATTCGGCGAAAACCCAGGAAGGGGCATATCAGCCTATGGTATAAAAAGGCTGGTTCGGGATCCGCGAAAAGCAGTTCAGTTCACACAATACACAGTCCGCGCAGTTCATATTACAGTTTACATTAGCGCTTATATTAGCACTCATACCCTAGTATTCATACTTATACTTGTTTGGGGACGGAAGCAAGTAATCGTGGAGGCAAAGACAGACTTTTTATTAATTTTATTTTATTTATTTTTACACATGCGCGTCGCACTACACCCACTTCGCACTGTTCTCGCACGCAGACTGAACATATAAAGACAAGAAACAAACTCGGCACGCAGGCCAAAAGCAAGAAAAGCCAAATTCAGAACGCAGTCTAAAACACATGAAAGACGAGAAACAAACTCGGTACGTAGGCTAAAATACATGAAAAACGAGAAACAAACTCGGCACGCAGGCCAAAGTACACCACCACTCACTGACTGCTCGTTTCTTCGCAGCAAGCGCCTTTTACCTGGGCCTCTCACCCTCTTCGTTTGAGGGCGGGGCCTTCTTAATTTTTACATTTACCCTAGTCTCTGTCTCACTCGTGAGCCGCTGAGCGATCTCGAGATAACCCCCGGCTATCCCCGAATCGCAGCCGAAACTGGTAGAGGCTGAGACAGCCTTGCGTAAAACGCGGCACTCGTTTCACCCAAGTTATAGCGTGCGGCCCTGGCTATTAGCCACACCGCCAGACGAGCGAAACATTGAGGAGGCATGCCGAATCTAATATGCTGTCATAAAAACAACAGGTAGACGCTGGTCACATCGAAACAACCAACTTACACTTAATGTTTCTCGAGGAAACACGGTTATGCGGTGCTAATTACCCCGAGACCTATCGGCACCTGCTGTGGAAAACATTGGGATTGCCCAGAAGTTTTCCCGGCGCGTCCGACATCTATCGGTCAGATGTATTCTAATTATTCGCGCTTAGCTCTACCTAACCGTCTGCTACATTCTCCCCCCATCAAAATGAGATTTTGATTTACACGGATTCGCAGATTTTTACTAGTTTGTGGACGGGGCGCACGAGTTCACCTTTTCCTGCCCGAACTTTCACTATCCTCACGACTCCGTCTGATTTGTTTGGGAAGACCTCTACTACTCTACCCTTTCGCCAAGTATTTCTCGGTGCTTGAAAATCTATTATTAAGACGAAATCTCCTATCTTAATCGGTGGCTCATTATTGTTCCATTTGTTCCGAGGTAAAAGAGTGGGTAGATACACTCGCAGCCATCTTTTCCAAAAGGCTTTGGCTAACTGTTGTGCGATTTCAAAACTTTTCCGCGGATTAATGACCTGAGCTTCGTACTTGTCCAATCGCATATATCCTGATGAATACCCTATCAAAAAATGGTTGGGAGTCAGGGCTTCTTCGTCGTTTGGGCCGATAGGAACGTGTGTGAGCGGTCGCAAATTGACCATGTGCTCAATCTCAACGAGAAGCGTATTTAATACTTCTTCGGGAGGAACTTGTTTGTTGAGCTATTGTTTCAACGCGTTTTTAACGGACCTGATCTGTCGTTCCCACGCTCTCCCATGTACGGGGCGTCTGGCGGATTAAAATGCCAATTAAACCCTTTTTCTTCCGCGAACCGTTGCTGTTTTGACGTATCAATGTTCGTTATGGCGTTTTCGATCTCTTTATCCGCCTTCGTAAAATTGGTCCCGTTATCGCTATACATATCGCGGGGAAAACCTCGTCAGCCCGCGAATCGTTGTATGGCCATGATCGCCGAACTCGCGCTCAAGTTATGAGCCAATTCTATATGGATCGCTCGCGTGGTCATGCAAGTAAATAAGACCCCCCCAGCGCTTTTCGCGTCGGCGGCCTATCTTAATTAACATTGGGCCGAAATAATCTATGCCACAATGCGTAAAGGGTCTACGCTCGTAGGCTACGCGACAGGTCGGCAAATCTGCCATGATCGGATTTTGCGGTTTTCCACGGAGCAATCTGCATGTGATGCAACTTTTCGCGAGAGATCTGAGCCTTGTCCGAAGCCCAAAGATATAGAATTCCATCGTGTTTGAATCGACGATGGAATGACGCGATCAACAATCTTGTTGCGAAGTGCCGCGAGTCTAAAATTATCGGTTGAAATGTCACTTCTCTATCTCCGATCTGCTTCACGCGACCTTCAGCTCTCAGAATACTATTTTCATCTAAAAACGCTCGTAGGCTCGCTAGTTTGCTCCCTCGGCGAAGTTCTTTCCCTTGCTTTATTGCGCTTAACTCTTCGCTGAAACATGCTGCCTGTATCATCTTGTACCAAAAATTTGCCGCGTCGGTCCATTTCTCGGCGTTTGACACTGATCTAATCTCGCTCGATGATCGCGCACGATGCGTCTTTCTTTTTTTTATCTGCTCGCCATTGTACCACTCGTCCAAAATCGCTTTCATCCGTTTCGATAACTCTAGCAACCCAAACCATCCAAGCTTTTGCTTGCTTCCTGACGTTTCTATCACGCGTGTCGTTACTGTGCCAATAAACTCGCTTTGTGATTCTAGTTTGTCGATTTTGCGTTTATCTGCGTCTTGCAATGCCTTTTCTTTAGGCCAATCATCCGTGTGTTTGCTAAGAAAGTCCGGGCCTATGAACCAACGATCTGTTGCTTTTAACGCTTCTTTGGAGGGGCGCGTAGCGTCATCAGCGGGGTTTTGTCGAGTCGGTATCCATCGCCATTCCGTAATTTGCGTAGTTTCCGCGATTTTACTTAGGCGATTCCTAACATAAGCTTGTTTTAGACGCGGCCCCGCGCGAATCCATTGTAAGACCGTGGTCGAGTCTGACCAATAGATCTTTTTATCTATGGTTATGTCTAATTCCGAGGAAATCATCGTAGCTAATCGCGTTCTGAGTACTGCAGTTGGGGCTACTCGCGTTTTTGCCATTACTAATGAAACGCAAGCTTTTCCATCAGGTGATTCAAATCGTAGATAAGCGGCTGAGGCATACGCTTGTAAACTCGTGTCGCAGAAGATGTGTAGCTGGGTATCTTGTTTTCGCGCGTTACCGTACAAGCTTCTAGGGATCGCGCATTTCTTAACCTCCTGCAGGTTTCGTAACCAAATTTTCCACGCGGCAAATTCGTCGTCTCTGATTTTTGCATCCCATCCGACCCCGCTTTGCCAGATGTTTTGCATAATTATTTTTACAGAAACAAGAAACGGCGAAAGGATTCCGAGAGGATCATACACCGACATCACGCTGCGTTTGGTTGGTTTAATGGCGCCGGTGGCGATGTTATGCCTAATTTTCGATAACCCTACGTTAAATCTCAAAGTATTGCTTTCTATATCCCAATAAAGCCCTAGGACGCATTCCTCTTCGTTGTACAACTTTGCTTTGTGCTCGCGACTTAGCTTACTTTCGGCGCTAACGCTTTTCATAATTTCGGCGTGGTTAGTCGCCCACCCATGCATTTGGAAATTCGCTTCCCCGTTTATCCGAATCACGTAGCGTACTCGCTCTTGCATCTCCTTGACGCTTGTGCCGCTCACCAAATAGTCGTCCATGTAGCTGTTTCGGACAATACTTTTCGTGGCAATCGGTTTTGTCTTTGCGAAGATTTCTGCATTTCTATTTTTTACGTATAACGCACTACAGGGCGAGGACTTTGAGCCGAAAATCAAGCTATTCATTTGACACGTGTCCGGATCTCGATACCTGTCCGCCCCTCAATATAAGAAACGCTGCGCCGGGCGATCTCGTTCGATCAAGTTAATTCGCAAATACATATCTTTAATGTCTGACACGACCGCGAAAGGATGTTGGCGGAACCGCAACAATACGCCGAGAAGTGATTCGAGAAGATCGGGCCCTGTGTCTAGCAAATCATTCATGCTGACACCTTTTGTTTTTTCCGCGGCATGAAACACTAGTCTTACTTTCCCCGGTTTATTTGGATTTTCTACTCCAAAGTGAGACACGAAGCGTTCGCGCGGTGACTTATTGTCATCTGTCACTTTTGTCGCATATCCGTTCGCGAAAAGCCGATCCATTTCGTTATAATAAAGAGTAGCGAGTCCCGGGTTGCGATCTAGTTTTCTTTCTACCGCATATAGCCTTTTCAAAGCTGTGGCTCTCGTATCTTATTTTAGCAAGTTGTCCGATTTCCATAGGAGACCCGTCTCCCACGAGTTATCCCGTTTTTTGGTGGTCTCGCGCAAAATTGTCATGGCCCGATCTTTTTCTATGTTTGTGTTTTTCGCGTTTACGCCTAGGTTCTCTAATGCGAAATATTGTTTTACTAACGCGTCTAATTCATCTAACGTTGTTTCGTCACAAGTTCCGTCGGTTTTTTGTTCATTGCTTGCTATGTTTATCCACGATGGTTGAGTTGCTTTCGGACGCTTTCGTAATACCCGTGCAATACCCACCCCAACGATGAAAGCGAAATTACGAGGCCTGTACCTTTTACTTTCCGCGATTCGGTGGTCTCGATTAACTTGAAGTTGTCTTGCCCGATCAGAATTTGCAGACGCGTGATCTGTTGGGCCTTGAGATCAATATTTTCTTGCGCTTCTATTTTTCTTATAATTTCCGGAGGGATGAATTAGGAGGGTAGATTTAAATTGGGGACGATAAGCGCATGCTCTAAAATTTGGGCCCCGTGCGCGCCTTCTATCACACAAATTACCCGTTCGCAGCAAGCTTGTGTTGCCCCGCCCCATGGGCCTTGCACAGATATGTTCGTACGTTCTCCTCTAAGCTGAATTTGTTGTGCAACTGCCTATCTATGACGCTAATCGTCGAGCCTCCATCTAACAAGGCGTATGTCCTCACTACTTCCCCGCTCCCTCCCTTGATTTTAACGGGTACGATTTTCAACAACCCTTTCCTTGTTGTTAGTCATGCCGACGGCTTAGCTTCCTTGTCGTTGCTATCTCGAGCGCTGCTTCCTTGCCGTCCGTTACAGCTGGGTCGCTTCGAATCCTGGTTCCCGTGTTGGCGATCACGTTCACTCACGTGCAATTTTGCGTGATGTGCACTCTTACAGATAGCGCACACGGCTTGTTCTGGGCAGTCCCTGGCCATATGCCCCCCTTTGAGGCACGGAAGCACAGTCGGAATTGCTTCACGAGAGAATACTTGTGCGATACGGTTTCCTTTCCGAAGTCAAAACAATCGGCGATATCATGGGACCTTCTATGGCAAAAGATGCAACCTTGATCGTTCACGGTCTTTCTATCACTACTTGGCCATTTCTCTTGACTCGTCGCGGTACAAACGTATTCAGTTCTAGGCTGTTTGTCGTGTCTCCGCGGTTCATCCCTATCTCTACGACGCTTATTGCTGTCTCACTTAGACGTGTCGCGTTCTCATCGCGAACTATTGTCCTCACAGTGTGAACGCGACGCTTCTAATTCTAATAAGCCGGATTTTATCGTATTGCTCGCTTTTTTATCTAGGAAGTCCGCTAGTTTCTCTAAACTGGTCTTATCTTCGTCATCGATGTCAGCTGCGTAATCGCAATACGCTTGCTTAAAATTTCCGGTTAGCTTCTCTATGGCGCTTCGCGTGAAGTCGATATTCGATAAATAGCTCGACATCCCGACAGATTTGAAGGCGGAGACAGCGTTGCTTAACCTAGTCGCAAAGGTTATAATGTCGCATTTGTCTTCTCTCAGCGACGGCAACCTGTAAATCTCGTCCGAAATTTCAGTGGCTATCGCGGCCTTACTTCCGAAAAGCATGCGCAACGAGGTCATAACCTTTTTTGGGTCTGTAGCCGTATCTAACAAAGTCCTTACTTTTCGTTCCGCGTCTCCTTTGATGGTGTTTTGCAAACGCGCGATATTTTCGCGATCCGAATACCCGTAATTATTTATCGATTCCCGGTACATCGCTTCAAAGTGGCTCCACTTGAGCGGGTTACCTCTAAACTCGGGTAATTCTTTTAGGCATTTTAATTGCCCGTTCGCTCGCGTTACATTGTCGCTGCTTACGGCGTCGCGTATCGTACGTATTAAGTCCATTACGGTGTCTAAGACCGTCGCACTCGCATTGTTTATATTTGCACTCACGTTGACTTCGGGGCGTGCCGTAGTGCCTGCTATTTCCTCGTAGTTGTTATCGCTGTAGTCCTCTCTCGGCATGTTGGAGAAGCTGGGACGTCCTGTCATTGCATATTGGTCGGCCGATGTTAATGACGTTGATGGTGACGGTGATGGCGACCTGGCCCTGATGGTGGTTTCCGGTTCATACGGGTGCGTCGGCGCGTGCTGTATTGGCGATGGTTGGCGCTCCGGCTGCAACAGCGGTGACAGCCGTCGCTCCGGCCGCTCCAACCGCGCTGCTGATGCCGCCCATCGTCGTGGCTGACGGGCGGGCGTCGATCGCTGCTCTGGCCGGCGGGCTGGTGCTGGTTGTGTTGCTGGTAGTATAGCCGATGCTGGATCCTGCGCTGACCGGCGAGCCGATGCGAAGGTTGCTGCTGCTTGCCGCGCTGGCACGTAGGGTGGTGCGGCTTGTTGCGCCGGTACGTAGGCTGGTGCTGCTTGCTGCGCTGGTACGTAGGCTGGTGCTGCTTGCTGCGCTGGCACGTAAGCTGATGCTGGCTTTTGTGCTGGTACCTTTTTCCGTCCTTTACGCGCTATGCCTTTCTTGGCGGGAGCTGGTGTCGACGTGGCGGCAGGACGACGTCCTCGTTTAGTTGCTGCTGGTTGTTCCACCATTGGTGCTGCTGGACGTTTTCGTGGTGCCATTTTTGAATAACTTGCTGTCCGACTGTTATTGAGCTGTTTTTCTTCCTTATCTCGATTACTTGCCTAACTTGCTCGTCGTTGTGCCACCAGGGGTACCAATTTGTTGAGGACGGAAGCAAGTAATCGTGGAGGCAAAGACAGACTTTTTATTAATTTTATTTTATTTATTTTTCAACATGCGCGTCGCACTACACCCACTTCGCATTGTTCTCGCACGCAGACTAAACATATAAAGACAAGAAACAAACTCGGCACGCAGGCCAAAAGCAAGAAAAGCCAAATTCAGAACGCAGTCTGAAACACATGAAAGACGAGAAACAAACTCGGCACGTAGGCTAAAATACATGAAAAACGAGAAACAAACTCGGCACGCAGGCCAAAGTACACCACCACTCACTGACTGCTCGTTTCTTCGCAGCAAGCGCCTTTTACCTGGGCCTCTCACCCTCTTCGTTTGAGGGCGGGGCCTTCTTAATTTTTACATTTACCCTAGTCTCTGTCTCACTCGTGAGCCGCTGAGCGATCTCGAGATAACCCCCGGCTATCCCCGAATCGCAGCCGAAACTGGTAGAGGCTGAGACAGCCTTGCGTAAAACGCGGTACTCGTTTCACCCAAGCTGTAGCGTGCGGCCCTGGCTAATAGCCACACCGCCAGACGAGCGAAACATTGAGGAGGCATGCCGAATCTAATATATTATCATAAGAACAACAGGTAGACGCTTGTCACGTCGAAACAACCAACTTACACTTAATGTTTCTCGAGGAAACACGGTTATGCGGTGCTAATTACCCCGAGACCTATCGGCACCTGCTGTGGAAAACATTGGGATTGCCCAGAAGTTTTCCCGGCGCGTCCGACATCTATCGGTCAGATGTATTCTAATTATTCGCGCTTAGCTCTACCTAACCGTCTGCTACAATACTAATTTAGTTATTTCTAAGTCTCACTATCCGGCTACTCAGAACCGGAATTATACTCTGCTAGGCATTATAAACCTGTCTTTAAACAATAAATCTTAAATCAAGCGCAAACACCTGAGACTGTTTGTAAAAACCTCTTCTGAAATCCAATCTTAACAAGGTAAGAAACTAAGTTATGTACCTAAATACGCTACATATAATAAAGGCGCTATTCCTTTAACCAATCTCTGCTTAACTCCTGACTACGATCCAACGTTTACCAACACGACAGTATTTTAAACATTATTACGTCTAGCCGTAACATCTCCTCGCCTAGACATAATAATTAGGGGCCCCTCATTCTTGGTAATTAAGATCTTATCGCAAAAAAATTACAATGGTCGAATCACCTTACGAACGAAAACTAATTACACTCAAAATACTAATTAAAAAAATTAGCGAAATAGAACCAAACTTTGCGACAAACAGGGAACCTACGCTTACAGAATGTCTCGCATATCTGCATCAAAGACATCCACCCACCAAAACAAACCAAATTACCCGAATCGAGGAATTACAAAGATTAAAATATAATTTACAAGACTACATTGATACAAACCCATTGGACTTTCTATGTAAAGATGACCTAATATTCGACATCCTCATTGAAATGACTAGTAAAAATTTAAATCCAGCATCTCTCCTTAACGCTATTACGAATATAAACTTCGAAAAATTAAAATTAGATAAAACTGAAATTCCATTAATTGAGCTCATTGAAAATCAAACAGGTTACGAAACAGCAATTGAAAATTCAGACACGTATAACGCGCCCACTACAAACATGTCTTTGACTAATACACCATCCGCTTCTAAATCACCAGAAATGGCTCATAATAAATCGGAAA